CCTCCGCTTCCGGGGGACCCTCCACTGCCTGGGGAGCCTCCGCTTCCGGGGGAACCACCGCTACCGGGGGAACCGCCGCTTCCGGGAGAGCCTCCACTGCCGGGGCCAGCGCGGACGGCCAAGGCACCAGGTCCAACGGGGACCGGGGCGGGAGCTGTCAATGCCAAGGCGTGGCGAGGTCAGTACGTGCAAGGTAAGTCAGAGGCGCAATGCGGACGTACCAGCGAGCACACCGGCCTGAGCGGCGGCGAACGCGAGAGCGAAGAAGGCTGTAGTCTTCATATTGCCGAGGGTGAAATCGAGATATTCAAAGAGTGCGTGTGTAGCGTATCGACACGAGTGCGAGTACGCGGATGAAGAGTAAGGGAGCGAGAAGTGCTGGGTTGCTGTCGTGCTTACAGCGGACAACGAGTTCTCTAGCTGGCCGAGTTGACCCTTTTATGCGTCTCTGGTGCACCCCTGAATTCGCGAGGAGCCCCTTCGTCGTGCGAGAGGGTGTGTTCTCTGCAGAGGAGGTAGGAGCGGGCTCCTGTGAACGTGCGTTCTGGGTCGTGCTCGCGCAATACCTACCCCGGGGATCCAAGAGATAGCACTGCCTCTCAGGGATGAGCCGAGAGCGACGACAAACGGCCTCCTGAGGCCTGAGCCCATCGTGCAGGCGTCCTGTTAGGTTGCGCGAATACTACTCCTTTTTTTTTCGATATGGTCCTAAGGGAATGCCTGGAGCGCGCATGAGAGCAAAGACAGGCTTGAACAAGCTCAATAGTGTAAGTGGGAGGTTCTTGGAGGCATGTCTGGTGTAGGCTGCATCCGTGCGTTGCCTAGGCCATTCGAGCCAGCAGTGTCGATGTCAGGTACGCCGTGGAGTGAGGAAGGATTGGCGGATGTTTCGGTGTCATGCTCCTAACCTGGTGGACCCTCAATCGACCAAACCACGTCGGTCGGAACGGGCTCAAGCCCCGAGAGGGGAGGCTATGTGGCGAGCGATCGCCCCTCATGCGGGGTAAAGAGTCCGCGCCAAGGTACACTGCCTTCGATCACGGACGCGCCACCAACGTACACCACTCTCGCACCCAGACAAGCTGAAGACAGCCAGAAGCAAGCTATTGAATATCCGCATTAGTGACAAGCTCAATACCCAGTCTACAATGCAAGCCACACTTGAATGTGTCGAGGAGGCTGAGTATGAACTGCCAGGCCTCTCGCGCATTGGAATACTTGGACGACAGTAAAGCTGGCCTTGCCTAACTCTCGCCTTTTCTTTGCAACAATCTTAAGAATGAAACAACGTATAGGTTACTATGGCAGTAGTCGAACTAAGGAAGGGTTATTTTTCTGACTATCCGTCAAGCTGTGCTGTAAGATAGGCCGCAAAGACGTGCGAATTCAGATAGTATCATTCAGCCCAACGTCTATTGCGCTGAGGCGCTGGAAATGCAGCTCATGAGCGCCTATACACATGAACAATGATGCAGATGAGCAGCAACGGACGATATTCTTACATGACTGGAGTGCACGTTGTTCACACGTCGTCCTCTCCCTCGTCCTCTCCTCCGTTCCCAAGGTTCAGCTTCCGCTTCCTGCCGGGCATCTCCTTCCCTCCACCAAACCCGACGCCAGCCTTTTTCCTCAGTTCCTCCACGTCCGCAGCCCCATCTTCTGCCCACTCTAAGACAAGATGTCGGCCGAGGAAATGCGTATGGCGGAGCGTAGCATGTGCGCGAGCAGCTTCGTGCGGCGACACAAACTCGAGAAACGCGAACCCGCGTGTACGATGGTTGAACTTGCGCGGGAGACGTACCGACTTTAGCTGCGCATGGGCTCTAAAAGAATTCGAACGTATCAGACACTATTAAAATCGTCGAGGCAAAACTTACCCAAAGAGCTCCTGGATATCCTTCTTCGTCGCCTCGAACGGCACGTTCTTGACAATCATCTTCGCCGATTTCGGCTTCCCCTTTACCTCCTGCCCCTCGGCCTCGTCAACACCCCTACCTGCCCACTTCGCCGCTAGCACATGACCGTCGAGTACGAACCCTTCAAGGCTCTTCAAAGCTCGCTTCGCATCGTCCTTAGTTCGGAAGCCGACGAAGCCATAGCCCATGCTCAGTCGCGCGGTCGGACGGGCCGGATCGACCTTGGCCTGCACTCGCGCGAACGCAAAACCAGGGAGATGGCGCAAGGCGTGCACAAGGCCCTCTGTGGTTGTGCTGAATGCAAGGTTCTTAACAAAGAGCGTCGTCCCGGCGGACAATGGGGGCTCCGTGGCCGCATCATCACCTTCTACCAAAGCGGCCCCACTGACCGGGGCTCTGATGGGTTCCACAGCGGTTGCCACCACCGGTGCTTTGCTGCTCTGGCCCGACATAGCAGGAGAGTCTGCAGGTACGTCAGAGAACATCCCCATTGGGGCTTTCTCAAGATACATGATCGTGTTACCCAGCCGCCGATATGCGAGTGAGCGGAATGCTGTCCGGGCATCAGCTGCTTGCTCGAACTCAATAATCGCGAGGGTCCCTGCGGGTGGGACTAGCACCCTGCGCAACTCTCCATGTGTGCCGAACATCGTGCGGAGGGTGTCTGTAGATGTACCATAAGGGATGTTCTTGACGAGGATGGTGGTGTCGGACCGTTGAACGCGCGACGACGAAAAGACCGATAGGACAACGCCATGTGACTCTAGGAAAGATTTCGTTTCGTTGATGATATGAGTTTCTGCCAGCGCGAGCTTGACTGCAGCATTATCAGACTCTGGGTTGAGAATTTCAGACTTGGGGATGTTCATCCTGTCCGCCACGGATGATACGACGGCATCACTCTAATCATTCGCAAAATCCATAAGAACCAGTGCCAGAGTGTATGAAGATTACGAAGGTACGTACATTCATATAAAGCATTGCCCAATTGAACTCTTTCCCTGCGGCTGCTTTTCTTTTGGCTTCTCGCTCCCCCTTAACCGTCTTTTTACCATTATGTTCATCCTCAACCTTTCCCTTCCGATCCACAGCTGGAAGAATATGTAGAAGGCGACCTTGGAATGAAGTACGGTCTAGAGCTTCAAATGCCGAAAGGGCCTGAGCAGGCCTCGCAAATGTGACGTAAGCGAGACCCTTTGGTTGTTTCGTTACAGCGTCTAGTGGAATGTGAATCTACGGGATATCATCAGTAAAGGCTTTTTCGAGTCCAGGTGCAATAATGTGAAGTCAGAAAATTTCTACTATCGATTTCCCATGGGATCAGCACCCTCGCTGCTATTGCAAACGAGTCTGATGTCCCTATACAGGTTTTTCATCATATGCTTGAGGCATTGCACTCATCTGTGCAGCAGAGGACGAGACTTACGTTGGACACTTCGCCCTGATTACGGAATAGTTCGCGTAATTCATCTTCAGTGCATGTGAAAGCTAAATTGCGTATGAAAAGTCGGCCCGTCTGCAGAATAGTCTCTTTTACAGGATCAGGAGGGGGATCCTCGGACTGGAAGACATCAGTGGAAGACCACACATAGACTAAGTATGCATACCACTGTAGCTTCGTGACGATCCACGTCGTCCACTTCCTCGTCGGACTGCTCGAAGGCCTTTTCTGCGGGGGGATCAGCCTCGTCGAGAACAGCCTTTGTACGCTTTCGGAACCAGTCCATGTCGGATATTCCGTCATCGCGGTGTTCAGACTCGAAATCTAGAGAATCAGTCGCATCTTTCATCTCATCGTTTTCTCCACTAGTAGGTTGAGCCTTCGAACTTTTTCGACTTTGAGTAGCATCGATTTGATCCTTTATATCAATACCGTTTGTTGCAGGACGATTTAGGGGCATGGCGACGTCTGCATCTGCCCATGAAGGGCCTTTCTTCGTACGAGGTTGCATAACTTGCATGAACTCGTCAAGGTGACTCTTCGACTGGCTGGCTTTCGACTGTTTCTGTGCGAGTATACCGGAAGCCTGGCCTGTCGCACGGATGTCATTCGGAAGGCGAGTTTCCGTCTCATCAGGACCTGGTCCTAACCTTGGCCGTTTGTTTGGGCGAGGCGGCGGTGCGTCTTTGGAACCCTAGCAAACGTAAGCAGATATTCGGACGAGGTTGAAGGGAGACGTACTTCAACAATTTCGACTAAAATCCGCGAGGAATCCACGAACGCCCGATTGAACCATTTCTTTGCGCGTTCAGCTTCCGCAGGGGATTTGTATCCGATGAACCCGAATCGTCTCGACGTTCCGTCGGGACGACAAACAAGTTTCACATCAGTGAGAGTGCCTCCCGGTCCATCTGGAGAATCGAAGTATGAACGGAGGCGCTCTTGGGTTAGATATGCAGGTAGGTTTTTTACAATTAAGCGAGACATTGACTCTGTCGAAAAGGAGTGGCTCAATGTGAGCTACCTTTCGTATCCGAGCCTTGTGCAGTAGACTTTGGAGGGTGGGCCTCGAAGGCGGTCAAAGTGGTCAAGCTAAATGTCGTCAAAACTGAAAAGAAGATGAAGAGATTCACTCGAGCACAGGCATATCACGTGCGTCCAACTCCTGAAATTGACACTCTCGTACACAAGTCGTACACATGAATCTCTATTATCTTCGAGCTCATGCAATATTGTGAAAACCACTTTTATTTTCTGGCTCATGCCGTTTAAAAGGCCTGCACCTTACCCACAGTCTCGTTCTGGCTCTCACGCGCCATCCGACGACTCGCCCGCACAAACATCTTCCGCAAAACGTGCCCGAGCCTCACATTCAGCCAAGGCGCTGTCGAACATCAAATTGTACATTGTTGCTGCGAAGTTGGACCCTCCTGTGCTCTCAGACCTCATCGTCCTGGCCGAGCATCATGCAGGATCCCTATGTAAGCACGCAGTCGATGCGGACGTGATTATAACCGCGATTGGTATGCGGAGACGTTTAGAGAGGCATATTCCGTGGGATCTAGCTGTAAGTCTCATGTTATTGCGTTTAGTTTCTCAAGGTTGCGTTTCCAAATTCTGCCCTGCTTTACGTTGATGCTATCCCGTACGATATAGTATCTCTTACGGTTCAGGAAGTGGGTGGAATGAACGGCGACTGCTACTTACGCCCCGACAGTCAGGCAATGAGTCCGATAGACGTCCCCCTGTGGGGATCCAAACATGCGATTTCACCTATGTCCATCGATTCATTTACTCCCTCGTATATTGCGCGCCCGTGAACTTATCGGAATGCTTCTAAACATGGCTGGGCTTCTTGATTAATTCATGATCTTGATAGCACATCCAAGGCATCAGGACACAGTCACACTTTCATTATTGGCCTTTCTCAAACGCAAACTTACCCTTGTGCATACAGAGGACTAAAGCTGTCGTCACTCCTAATTGGCTCCGTGATTCGATTGAATATGGAGCTCCCCTTCCTTGTGGAGAATATGTCGCGATCCAGGATCTGCGCACCGAGACGGAGGCGCATTGTCCTGATTGCAATATTTCCCCATGCGCCTGCTCCGATTCAGAAATTTCGTCCCTCGCATTGTCTTCGCGCGGACTGAGTCCTCTCTCGAATACAACATCGCGCATGCAGTCCCCTAGTCTACATACCCCCCAGCCGCCACACGCACCACCAATGCCTCCACAGTCGGCGTCGTCTTCCTCCTGTGCAGCAGCCATCACCACTATACACAGATATTTCCCACATGATAGTGGCACCAAACTGGTTTCTACTTTGACCGGCAGTCCGCTTTCCGAGGTCAAAGTCAGCACAAGGCATATTGAAATCCCAGCCCATCTCCTTCCGCCGTCACCACCGATTCCGACCAACATCGCAAAGCTCAACTACGCATCCCGTTACGCATGCCAACGTGCTTCTCCTCTGGAGTGCCCGAATCCGGGACTAGTGAAGGAGCTCGACGTTCTCCGCCGCTCGAGGGCGCTTGAGGGCGAGGAGCGCAGCGCGCTCAGCTACGCAAGAGCCATCTCAATCGTCAAAGGTACATCATGTGCAGAGCACATTGTGTTTTAACGACCATATTGTATAATATAGCATATCCGCGTAAGATACGCTCACTGCAACAGGTTGAGAAACTACCATTCATAGGTGCGAAAATCGGAGGCATGGTCTGTTTTAACAGTCGTTCATCTTGCACATAGTAATTAACTACGCTGCCTCTGACAGGTAGAAGAGTATGTCTTGAGTGGGAAAATTACCGAAGCACGTATGTATATCTTCCTCCTCCCCATGCTCGCATCGCTCAATCCATCACAATGTTTAGAATCCATACTCGCTTCCGAGCGCTTTCAGGCCCTCTCCTTATTTGCTACAATATATGGAATCGGCCCTACTACCGCACGCAAGCTCTACGCACTTGGTCTTCGCTCGCTCGACAATCTGGAAGTATACTATGGTGTGGAACGCGATCAGGGACCTTCTGAGGAGATTATCGAAGTCGAAAAGCAGACGACGAGCGAGCAGTCATACAGGAATGACAAGGACAAGGGAAGGCGTAGAGGCGTGGGAGGGTGGGGGGGAGAGAAGGGCGAAGGCGATGAGGGGCTTGGAGAGAGCTGGGTCAGGATTGCCTTGGAACTTAGAGAGGACCTAAGCATCAAGTACGTGCAGATATTTCACTCCTATGTGTCTAGTCGGAGCATCTGCTTACGCATTTTTTACTATAACATCCTTCGTCAGGATCCCTCGTGCGGAGGTGGAAGAGATGAATCGGGTAGTCATGGCAGAGCTCGATGAGCTCGAACCAGGTTGCGTGAGCACGATCGCAGGTGGATATAGGCGTGGCAAGCCAGAAAGTAACGACGTAGACATTGTGTTCACACATCCGGATGGGACCCGCATAAAGGGGTTGTGTAAGCGGTTGGTACGTCGTTTGCATGAACGCAGTGAGTTTGTGCTATTGATTCCATGCATTCCTTCCTCTGAATCTTTGAAAGAAATGGTAACACACGTTATGCGTAAGTTGGCATCTTACATGCAACTGGCACATATTCACTTGTGAATACACTCGAAGATCTTTCCGGCTTTCACGGCCACAACCCACTGCGCACCAACCACTGGGATTCGTTGGAAAAATCGCTTACAGTCTTCATTTTGCCTAGTACCTCGCACTCGAAAGGGCTCCGTCGTCGACTGGATCTCATATTTGCACCGCCAGAGATCTACTGGACAGCAGTGATTGGATGGTAAGTACAGTTTAGACAAGTAACTTTGACTCTTCACATTCTTAAACAAGGAGCGGCTCTATTATGTTCGAGCGAGATTTGAGACAATGGGCGAAAGATAAAGTGTGAGTATCCTTTGTGCGTCGAATCCTTGATATTCAAGCTGAATTGCCTAGTGCGATGAAATTCGACAGCTCTGGAATGTAGGTGTTAATACGTATTCATATATCCGTACAGGACTTACTCCACACAGAACGCGTCGATACGACTCGAAACAGTTCTTTCCCAAAACTGAGAAGGAAGCATTTAATCTTTTAGGACTCGAATGGATAGATCCTACCTTGCGAAACGCGGACGCATAGACAAATGGCACGAAAGATCTCAGTTACATAAAACGAGTAACTCCCCATTCTTTTCAGCGTCTTGTATGCGTAGGCTTCGAAAATGATTAGATCCTCGCCCTGCCACGCAACACCCAAAACATACAGTACGTACTAGCAACGTTGAAGCCAATAATCACCATAATAAGGAGTACCAAACGGATTACTCCACTCATTTTCTCGACTGCGATGCGCTCCACATTTCGCTCGTACGTGACCTGCTCAAGTTCTTTCCGAGCCCGTCGAGTTCTTCGTTACTTGATGGTCATTCTTCTCTGTTTCGTGAATTCGCCTCATGTGGGCGAGCTGGCGATTTAAGGCTGCGAGCTCTTCACGGCACGTAGTGATGTTGAAGGACTGGCCGTCATCAAATGGAGAACAAGGAACAATCTGCGAGAGCGACTGATACTTAAATATATGGGATCTGAAATCATTCCGCCCAATAGTACGTGCCTTCCACAGAATTTGATTGTCGATCTTGCTTGGAGAATTGACCTTTTTCAGGTAAACCTGGAAGGCGCGCCATTAGATTCACTCGTGTTGTAGCTCCTGATGTAGCAGCAGCATTACCGGCGTGCGATTTTCCTCATCATGAAGGCTCCAGTATAAATTCAGGTCCTTGGTATGATGCTGAATTCTGCTATATCTGCTGACGTTATCAAGCAGCATAAGCGACAACTAAACGTACGTGTATGTGTATTCTCCTACTGCCCTTTTTTCAATTCTCCACCATGCCAGGTCTTCCCCAGTAATGACAGATGTGCCAGTTTCGTGTGGCCTTTTCGCCTGCACCGAAATGTGATACTCGAAATTCTCGATGATATGCCGCCCATCGCCAGTACCAATAATCATCCACTAATAACCGAGATTTAGGCAGCTGCAGCATGTACGAGAGGGTAACCTTCACCTTTTCCTTGCGTGGAATGGACTTGGGAGCACATGGTACGGTGGCAAAGATCTGTTGCTTGTGATTTCCACTGGGTAAATTTGCGCGATTCCCATGTTCAAGGTTGGTAATTGTGTAGAAACCATTGGAAATCGCAGGAGTTATGTGGTGTATGGATGGCATGCGCAACATCTTAACAAAACATTCCAGAACTTTGTAGGACCTCAGTTCGTCAGCTTGTCCATGTTTTCCTAGAGCGATGATGTCAAGCGCGCGTGTGGTCCCAGCGCGGACGGGATTAGTAAGGTGTGTACGTACCTTCCCAGGAATGGGTACTCAGACTCCCACTACCTTCCTCTGAATAAGATAGCAGACCTTGTGAAATCAATTCCTTACATAGTAAATGAGGTTCAATGGAAGAATGGAGCAAATGAATCAAATGAGGTCGCATCGCTTTCACCCATGAGCAGATTGTCAGCTTATAGCTGATTGGTGGTAATAGGTCCCTGGTATAAAAGCAAGCACATAGATTGACATTGACCTGTGAGAGAAACATTGAGAGTCCTAACAATCAATTCGCAAACGCCTGAATTCCGGTGATAGCTTTCCCCAATATGAGTGTATGAATGTCCTGTAATCGACTCAAATTCAATGACATTAGCCACACAGCAAAAGGCCCACACGCACATAAGTCCCTGGAAACGAACCATTAGAATCAAGCACACACATCAAAGTGTGAACAAAGCATACCTTCATATGTGTTCACCACCTGTAAGTTTGCAACATGTCGGCCAACATGATATCTGCCCCGACCCCAATGTGAGCGCAGATAAATGGGCAGCAACTGACTATACGCACTCGTCTGAGCATGCATTGCCGCCAAGGATGTCCAGAACCCTGCGGGCGTGCTCCAGCGCTTTCCCACAGTTATTCCGCTTGACCATGCTGATCATCTCCGGAGCTAGCTTGCCTTCGTCCTTCAGTCTGCCAACCTATAGATCCATTACAATCATCAACGAGGAGACATGACTTTGACACGAGGAAGGTTATCCAAAGCCACAACACGTACTTGCAGACTGGCATGAAGCCCGAGTACCGCCTCCGTCTGAGCGTCGACAAGCTTCTTTTGCACAAGCTGGAACGATGCAAGAGGGCGATTGAACTGGTGTCTTTCGAGCGCGTACGTGCGCGTACGATGGATACAGTCTTCAAGCGCGCCCATCGACCCCCAAGAAATGCCATATCTACATATACGGATAAGGAATGTCCTCAGCGGGACATTAAGAGTAACAACTCGCCTCGCATTATTCAAGCACCCAAACGGCGCGCCTAGTCCTTGTGCCTTCGGGAGGACAGCGTCATGCCCGACTGCAACACTATCCATGAAGATAGTACCGGTGAGGGAGCACCGTAGAGCCAGTTTATGCTTGATGGCAGGAGCGGACAGTCCCTTCATACCCTACGAAAGACACGAAAGGCTTGATATTTATAATTCAATGGTCATCTGGAAAACAAGCATACCTTCTCCAGCAAGAAGCCACGCACTTTATTATCCCACTTGCACCGTGCCCAAATGACAAATAAATCGCTGCAGTTAGAAAGACATGAGCCAAATCGACTACATGCGCGTATATGGACTCACGCGACGGGCGCGTTTGTAATCCACGTCTTCGCACCGTTTAGAACGAAGCCGCCATCCACTTCCTCTGCGACTGTTTCCATTCCAGCGGGGTCCGAGCCATGGTTTGGCTCAGTGAGACCCTGGGTCAGAAATATACAGGAATGAATGAAAGCCCAAGCCGATTCAGAAATTGAAGTAAAAAACGCACAAAACATCCAATGATTTCTCCCTTCGCTAGATATTTATAAGAGTCAAATCAGCTATATGGTATGATATGATATGAACATGAGATTTATCGACGCACCGAGTCGGGGAAGATATTTCTCTTTCTGCGCATCGCTTCCATACTCGTTGATGGGGTGCATCACAAGAGACGATTGAACCGACGATGTTGAACGGTAGCCTGAATCTACACTATAGAAGGTATGAGAAGGGTCAACAAAGAGGCAGAACAGAATGCTGGATACGTACCGCTCAACCTCACGTGCTATGAGTCCGTATGCTACGCTGCTTACGCCCGCACAACCATATCCCTGGATTGTAGGCCCCAAGAACCCCATTTGTCCCATGGCAGGAAGGATATCGTGATTAAACTCTGAACGATACAAGGTTAGTCAGAGTCGGGAACACGGCTTTTTACGCATATGTGCGCTGATAAACAGCTCTCTATGAGCAGAACGTTCGAAAGTTCCGACCATCGACACGCATATATTGAACGAACTAGAAGGTTCAAAGCCACACAAAGCTGCAGCAAGCAAGCCCGGGACCTTTGAATATTCAAGACAGGATGTACCTTCTGTACGCTGTGCCTCCAACACACGCGGGAGGAGGTTCTCCTACTAAGAAAGCTCATATGAGCGCTCCAAACAAGGGTCAGGACGCATATATGCGCAAGTCTAGGACTACTCGCCTGGCAGAATGCCCGAGCGGTATCCCTAGAGAGCGGCAATACAGTCGTGAGTGCCAGAATAGAGGCAATTTGAACATCAACGAACCGAATAGCAATCTCTTCTTCAGTCAAGAGACTCTCAAGATTGAGCGGGTCCTTAGTGACGTGAGTTGCAACTCCTCGCTACATATGGACATGACATGGGCAACTTACCTCCCAGTCGTATTTCGCATATTCTTGATTCCCGGAACAATTTCTCAGCAGACGACACCTTATATGAAGTATTTTATGACGCACTCGATGTTGATGTTGATGCCAATCTCCTTCCGCCGCTCTGCGCCCCTCTCTGCACGCAGCTCGCAGACCCTCTCACTAGCGCATGCCACGTCCGACGGCTGCTGATAGAATTTATAAAGCGCACTGAGTGGGATAGAGACATGGTAGGGACCAGCGTAGATAGACGACACACAGATGTTTCTGGTCGAGAGACCACGTCGCTCAGGTCGCAGTCGGAGAAGGATCGGACTAGAGTGCGGGGAAATAAACGCCCATGACTTATGTTTACTAGGCTCAAGTCTTCACATGGTTCACACGTTAACGTTATCAACTCCCCCTCAGGTCTATGATATATGATACCTTTGGCTTTGTCAACGCTTTATGCAACGTTTATTTACATTGAAGCGCGTGAGGAGTTTCTTCCAAAGGTGACTACTTGACTCTGCTTTTATGCTCAGTCGGTATAAGTAAGCAACAGTAGTAATCGTTCGGAGAACCCGAAGAACAATCTACCGTGAGAACGAAGCATAAACGAATCGCCGGTCGATCCTTGCCCGGCTCGGTTGAACGCCGTTACCAATCTGTTCAGCCTGAAAAATTAAAGTGAGACATCGCCCTTTACCGCTAACTCTGGTTCACATTGTAGACATAATCAACAACCGGTTCAACACAGGTCCAATGTAGCGAAAAAAAAACTCGAGGAACTAGTAGCCGAAAGTAGTAACCAGGGTCCAATCTTCCACGACAACTCGAATGCGACACGATGACACTGACAAATCCCACCGCGAGTTGGTCTCATACCCAGGGCTTCGACACGTCTGGGTGATAAGTCAGTTCTGCAGCACCCTGCACAAAGACTGCATTGATGTACCAATGCGAAGTTCGTCCTCCGCCGCGAGCTGTATCGCAATTTGACATCGATGTGTGGGAGCCCGGCAGTAGATACTTGACATAACGCACCGAGGTAGAAGCGTTAGCTTGCTCTCACGGACCCAGTCTATCAGCGTATGCACGGTGAGAAACCTGGATAGACAATGCACCACCCGGTCCCACATGGCTACACATGGGCGACGAGTCAGAGACAAGTTCCGAAGGTCATTCAATTCATCCCACTTCAGTGCCCTGGCCTCTGTCTGCCTGTTGTCGCTTACCTAGAAAAGATAGAGAAATAGCATCAACCGACCACTAGAGACTAAGGCAGATGCGGCGTTGTGCCCTGGAGTCCAAAGTCGCAGGAGGATGCGGGATTCTGCAAGCTACTGGATTTGCTGCTCCTATGTCCTGTCGGCCATGGGCTAGCGCTGCGTTTTCAGACTAGGCTGTACTCAATGAAACAGACGCACTGGGATATATCAGGAAGGAATGTGTATTCGCTGCACAAACGTACGTGTACCTACAGCGGAATTAGGAGGCCAGCGAGGAACCAGTCCTCATCTGAGAAGAGCTATGCTAGTTCAGATAGTATAACCAACCAACGAACGTTTGCAAGGGTCAAGTTCATCTTGCCTAGACATAGGTTGTATATACCAGCTTCCGGCACTGTCGGATCTCGAGCGCAATCGGGAGGACGGCGACATCAACTTTCGTAAGCACATGGCTCCTTGACGTATTGTTCTGACAAGAGACGGTGAGGACGCGCTAGAGCAGACGTGCGCATGGGAGAGCTTGGTAAGACGAAGAGAGCCATTGCCCTGATGGGGGATAGTGTACTGTGCGGACGACAGGCGAACAAGCTCGCCCGTCAGATGGCATGATGGTACGTGAATGCAATCAGACTGTATCAACGTGAGTCGTCAACGAGGGTTTGATCTGTGTGATGGGTGGTATTCCCAAGTGGTTAGCAAGTTACCACGGTTCAAACGTCCATCGGTCTGCATGCGTTTGAATTGAGCACAGTGCTGTAACCAAGTGTCGAAGTCAGACTAGCGGCGATGTAGCCATTGAGTCGGCTGATACGATTGCGCGAATGGGATAGATCTGTGCGTGCTACTTGTGAACGAGCAGTCAACGATTGCGTATTGCTGCATTCATGAATTGATTAACGTACGGCTGAACAACTCTCAAATAGCCTATAGTGACACATTCGGGTTAGTATGGAGCTGAGTAAGCAAGACAAAAACCTGCGCAAAAACTTATAGAGGCATGACACATCCTGATGACACTTATCCATAATATTCTTGGCTGTACCGGACGGTGCTCGCTCAGCACGACGACATCTGGACTACGCGCGACGTATGGCGTTGACACGGCATGACGAATACGAGAGATGGCGCGCTATAGGTTTGCTGCAGGATACTAGGAAGGTACAGGTATTCTCACGAATCGACGGGACGTAGGGGCATCAATTTTGCTGCAGGGCTCAAGAAGCCGGCGCTGCGCCAGTTCCTTGTCTGCATCAGCATTTCATCAGCTCGTCCACCCTAGGAATTTTTACGCAGGTTCGTCCGGCCCATTCGTCCTTGTACTAGAACAATAGGCACACAGGCTGTATCGTACCTAGATTCGCGTATAAAAGGCCGACCATCGACATGTCTACCGCCAACGCCTTCCGCACCTCCCTCTTTCGCATCCCTCGCACGCCCTCTTTCACCTCTCCCTTTCGCGCCATAACCGCATCCGCACTCAAACAGCGTCCCATAGCTCAACCACAACACCGCACGATGTCTTCTACCAATTTCCTCGAGGATCTCAAGAAACGTCGCACGATTTACGCCATCTCGCCCAAGTCCCCGATACCCGACGCCCGCATCCACGAGATCGTACAACAGGTTGTACTCCACGTCCCATCGTCGTTCAACTCGCAGAGCAGTCGTGCCGTCGTTCTCCTCAAGGGCGAGCACGACAAGCTCTGGGACATTGTCGCCGAGGTCCTCAAGCCTGTCGTCCCTGAGGGAGGGTGGCCCACGACCGAAAAGAAGATTGCGGGCTTCAAAGCCGGCTACGGCACTGTCCTCTTCTTCGAGGACAGCGAGCCCGTGCGCAAGCTCCAGGAGGCATTCCCGCTTTATCAGGCGGCGTTCCCCGGGTGGTCACAGGTGTGTGTCGTTTGTTCCTCTGTTTGGAACCCACTAACCCCGTGCGCGTGTACAGCATACCGCAGGTATGATTCAATTTGCGACATGGACTGCGCTCGAGCTTGAGGGCTTTGGCGCGTCACTCCAGGTGAGTAGACCTGTATACTACGCGCAGGTGCGCTCGCTGACGTGTTGGCGCAGCATTACAACCCTCTCATCGACGAGAAGGTTCGGGCGACATGGAACATCCCTGCCACCTGGAATCTCATTGCAGAGATGCCCTTCGGCACACCCACCGCCGCCCCTGCTGAGAAGGCTTTCTCGCCCATTGAGGAGCGTGTCAAGATCTACGGGCTGTAGACGACGGCATGGTGTTGTACGAGGCCATCAGGTGGCCGCATACTGATTGCATGTGTCATGGATTGATTACCATTGTATCATATAGACGACTATAGGCATCTCAATAAGATAATTCCTTTGCATCCGGAAAATTTCAAATGTCGTGATTTATTGTGTTCAGACAGGAATGGAAACGGGGGATGGTGCGCAGCTATCCCTGGTAGTGCCCACTCGAAGTTGAAGCATTCAGGGTCAAAAACGGCGACATGTTTCGTGATGACTTGTGCACACTTCCGAGTACATGGACACATCATTGCACGAGTATCCGTCGCATCCAGTCTCACAGGTTTCAATTTTAGCTTAAATCTAGTAGTAGCGACCGTTGAACGTTGAGTCTTTACGCCCGCTTGAATTCTGCACGGTCCACGCTGCAAGCAATCTAAGCGCTCAAATACGGGTTGCCTTCGCATCTCCTGGGAGCATCATGGTGCTAGTCTGCGCGCTCGTTCAGCGCTTGAGCTTTCGAGACCATTCCTTTCTCGTCGTGAGCGAGCACAATGAACCCGAACTTAAACCAGGATCAAACGCAACATGACAACAAGCAGCGTCCGAGGATCAAGGACGAGTCGCTGGAATTTGGGTTTTGCTCAACTTGCTGGGACTGCTGAAGTTAATTTCAAAGCGACTTGTTGAAATTTGGTGTTGATGCGTTTTAATTCTGGGTCTGGCCGATCCCGGTCACATACATTTTATCCAACCTTCTGATACTTACTGAAGCCCATAAGGGAGTTCTATAAACGTACTTGTTAAGCCTGATGTACGTTCTCTTCAATCTCGTGTTCCTTGTCGTACTGATTGGGCTCCTGGGGTATTAGAAATTTAAACCAATGCGGAGCGACCGTAAACAATGGCAGCGGTTTTCTATTTCGATACAAATAATGTTAGATATCTGGTAACTGCCCATGCATCTATTGAGTTTTAGTTCACGGCAGATAGGAAGAACAACTTCTGCATTGACTGAAGTATACTCTACGGAATGCATTTACTGCAATGCGAACCTCTGCTGTCTCTGACCATTTCATCTCACGCAGATACTCGTGGCGATCATTCCCTTATTATAACATCCACTCTCCGAAATACATCTCATCTTCCAGCGAAGAGGTCGAGTGTGTTAAAATTTGGGAAGGTCAACATGCTGATTCGCTATCCTCCGTAATGCGTGTGAGTTATTTTCGTACCTGGAGTCGTCACCGGACGACTAAGAGCTGCAAGAGTTCAGCATCCACTGCGACGTGCCGCCCGTTTGTGAGTCGTGGATTCTGATGCATGTATTCTGCTCATAGAGGATCCATTCTGAACAGTGCACAAAACTAGCATGCTCATTGCTTGCATTTACGTTTGTCTCAGGAATATCTTGAAGTGCAAGGCATGACGGTCATATTTCCCCGAACGTCTGTCACGTGGGTTCGCCATGTGCATGCATTAAGTTCAGTAACTCAATCTCTGAAAGTGGTGAGTCTACTATTTTCGAGGAAAGGCACACGGCTTATTCTCGGTGGGAATAGATATTAATCCCTACCAAAACCATGTACGAGGATCGATGCTTCCCTCCCGGTTTTCCTCGATTCTCCAAGCCCTTGGGCCAGCTCGGTTTACTGAGCTGCGTCGTTCGCCTTGTCTCCGATTTCTGAATATATACGTTTTAACTTCTGAACGTATTTCAATTAAGTTCTTGGCCCTCATTGAAACAATCTGATGAGTAACTGAGACGCTTGAAGAATCAGAAATCATAATGTACTTTTGCGTATAATATGAGCGATTTTGCTCATTTATTACTAGTGCATTGTCTCCTGACAGAGTGCGATGCGCGGAGGAGTCTCGGAAATTGGATGGGGTGCGTGCCTTTGCTGCCCTCATTGATGTGTTTTATGTGCAGAATCAGCCAATAGCAGGCCGCAAGGCTAAGAGCTATATTTTCGTCCAATCAGCTCATTTCGGTCACGTGGTCGGAGCCTCTAGCTGCACGGCAGTATCGGCAACTCGGTCCGCTGTAGTATATCATGTCGCAACATGCTATCCGCTCGTGCGACCGCATTGCTCTGCTGACTTCTCCAGCATATAGCTTAAAGCAGGGAAAGGTTTTGGAGACGACCCAAGGGCACGACGACGACGATGTCCGACGATGCACACGATCACCTACCAGAAACTACTCTCACGAATGCACATGCCTCCGACGAACTACAACCAAGCGACCCCAAATCTGCAACGCACGCACCCGGCACTCGCAGCGCAGATGTGATTTCCCTTACGGACCAGACGAACCTACTTCCGTTCAAGAAGGTTGTTGCGGTCTTTTGTGGGCTTTCGCTGTGTCTCCTGGTGTCCACCCTGGACTCGACCATGGTCGCAACTGCCCTACCGACAATCTCGAATGTATTTGACGCAGGCACTGTCGTATCCTGGGTCCCTTCCGGATACCTGCTCACGTCGACCGCCTTTCAGCCGTTGTGTGAGTGCAGCTCCGAGTCACTCGGCTTATGCATATTAATCTGCACGTAGACGGCCGCTTCAGCGACATCTTTGGCCGGAAGGCGAGCCTGTCTCTTGCCATGGGTATATTTATGTTTGGATGCATTCTCGCAGGGTTTTCCCGCTCGATAATCCAGCTTATTATTTTCCGTGCAATCGCTGGTGCGGGCGGCGGAGCCATAGTCAGTATGGGACAGATCATAATTTCTGATATTGTGACTCTTCGCGAACGGTGCGTATCATCTACTGTTGAACGCAATATCCTTTTTCTCCTTAACACATACTGATATCCTCATTCGAATCATACGATTGTCGTGACTACAGAGGAAAGTATCAAGGGATTATCGGAGTTGTCGTCGCTTTCGGCTTTGCGATCGGACCGCTCATCGGCGGTGCGCTCTCAGAGAAAGTCAGCTGGCGGGTTCGTCTCTCCATCTGGGCCTACCGCTCACGAGATAACATGCACATCTGACCGCTATTGCACGAGATGCAGTGGTGCTTCTGGGTTACTCCCCCAATTTCATGCGTCGCACTATGCGCCGTCTTGTTGATCCTTCCAGCCAAACCTGTCGAAGGCAATTTTCGCCGGTGAGCTTCCTACGCAACGAAATGTTTTGTGAAGACCTCATGCATAGCAGAAAATTACTTGCTGTGGATTACTTCGGCGCGGCGCTCACCTTGACAGGGTGCACACTTGTTCTGCTACCGCTCATATGGGTGCGTCCGGCTGCGTCTTTTTTGCCTTAAAGTATTGAATTTGACGCTGGTATCCGCGGTTTCACCGGGATTAGGGTGGTGTGACGTTCCCGTGGTCCTCTGCGGTAGTCCTTGCGCCACTCTGTTCCGGTTTCCTCGTGGTGTCCATTTTCTGCTTCTGGGAGTGGAAGGGTGCGCGATTACCCATCGTGCCTAGTGCGTGTTTGAGTCTTGCATTGCAGCAACTCTACGACTGAACAAATTGCGCGAATGTTAGTGTATATCTTCAAACATATCACCGTGACGGGTGTATATATCACTATGTTCGTGAAGTACGTGTGACATGTTTCATTCTGCAAACGACAGGTGGACACATTGCATTAATGATTTGCCTTCAGCGGAATGATCTTCTACTGCGCGCTGTTCTACCTCCCGCAATTTTTTCAGGTCGCACTCGGATATTCGCCAATTCGGTCTGGTGTGTTTCTATTCCCGGTACTGGTCAGCCAGACAACTGCGTCTTTTTTTGCAGTACGTATTATTTCCCTCTCTACTTGAACCATGGGTCGGATGATGACATTCCACCCCCAGGGCCAGATTGTGAGCAGGACGGGTCGATATCGCGTATGCACACATTTGACCATTCATGGTCGATTGGGGCGGCTCACCTTCTCACTCATCGTCAGACTATTATTCACACAGGTTTCTCAGTATGGGCGGTTGGATGTGGGCTCCTTTCGACTGTGACCAGTAGCACACCTAAGGGGCTTCTCGTGTTTTACATGCTGCTCTCTGGACTTGGCGCGGGACAGGTATGTATCCACGACCAAGTTACAGAATCTTATATCCGAAGCAATGTCATCACTGCACGCATGGTTATTACGCGAATACTGGTACTGACATGAACTACGTGGTTGCTCCCCTGATTATAGACTTTGCAGACAACTACGGTTGCAGCTCAAGCTAGTGTATCTCGAAAAGACATGTCGGTAGTGACTGCTGTCCGCAACGTGAGTAACTCGCTCTTGGTATTACAGGCAATTCCGGCACTCATCATGGCTGATCATCCATTGTCACGTTGTCAAGTTTGCGAGGTTGCTAGGAGGCACCTTATCCTTAGCGTTAAGCGCAACCATCATGTACGTCGTGTTCTGTCTCGTTTATCTTATGTTTGGACTCGCCATTCGACCATGCTCACACTGTTGGCCCAACCATTACAGCAATAACTCGTTGCGCGACTCTATGACCTCGGCCGGGTTATCCGCATCCACGATCACGACGATCATTGATGATCCCACTCTTCTTGGTGCACGGTTGTCTTCGGACTCCTCCGATCCGTTAGCTGCGCTTGGTGTCACACCTGCTCTGGCCGCCAAGATTCTTGATGGCTACACGCATGGCTTCCGCACTGTATTCATACTGAACGCTTGCCTCGCCGCCGTGGCGACTCTCGCTAGCATTTTCATGATACATCATAAGGAACTCACACGAGGCGACGAGGAGCGTTTACGTGCTGAAGCAAGGGCTCAGCTGAAGGGCGAAAAGAACGGCAGGACCGTGGTTGATGTCCCAGATGTGAAGCAGACGGAAGACATCGAGATGGGCACCGTTAGTGCAGGTGATCGCAGGGAGAAGGAAAGCCCGGCGGACCTACGTGCCAGCGACATAGACGACATAGACGACAAAATTTGATACGCTAGACATGAGATTCGCATATTCCTCCTCAATGCAACAAAGGCACAGTTTCGCAATGGGACAGGAAGCGGCAATCTTGGAGGTGTTACATATGCTCGTGTTATTATCAAAACATTGCTCGTCATGGGATACATTCACTTAGATTCCATTTATTACAAGTGCGTTCAGAGTAATTGGAGCTTTTCTTATAGACCAGCTTCATCGAATTCCTTGAGAAGATCTCTTGCTTCACGAGCAGGCCGCGAGATTGATGGGCGATCACTCGCGACGCTCTCCTGGACTTTTTGTGCAATGCTTCTGAGCACACCCAGTTCTTGGAAAGCATTAGGAGCGTCGGGGTCGCTTGATGTAAGATCGTCATCCGGAGATAGGACTGCAAGTATACATTGCGAAGATAACACAGAAGGTGGTGTCCCCACCAGGAGATTGGCCCTGAAGGAACGTCAGCGAAAATCGTGACTAGTACTGGTATAAGACGCTACATACTCAATGATGGGCTGAAGAATTTGTGGTGGCGAGATAACGGAGAACAGCGTCGCAACAGCCTGGCTATAACCCTCTAAAGTAAGATTGATGGTAAGCGCCGACTCGATGCAGAGTTCAGCTGCTGACTTACCAGCATGGACCTCTCGGAACGCTTCTGCCACGATTTCAACGCAAGCTTCCCTTGCCTTCTCGCCAACATTTGTCCCAGCGTTTTTTACTACATAGGCTAGGGCGAGCACAAGACTGCTTGCGATGGAGTCGTCATTGCTTTTGACCCCAGTTATCAACTCGGTAATTACCGGGTCCACCCGTGGTTGGCTACGCATGAGCATTCCCAGTGCTTGGGCGGCCTTGTTGCGTACAGACAGGCTGGCAGGGTCGCTTGCACTTTTGACAAATGTGCGTTGCAATTGTGGGAAGAAGGGCTTGACGAAATTCGGTATACGATCAAGCATTGTGGCGAGCGCAGTCAAGATAGCCGACTTGACCGCGGGTGGATAAGTGGTAGCTTGAGTTGCGACGCGAATGAGAGGCCCGGTGAATTGTACTACGAAAGGCTTGAGGGAGTTCTCCTCAGTTCGCTCAACAAGGTCGCCAATCGCGTACGCTGCCTGCTCCCTCTGCTCGTTGCTGCCTGTTGTAAGGCCTGCGATAATGACGGGGACAGTGGGTGCAACGCCTTTGGGGAGACTGAATCCGGGCACATGTCTGCCAGGAGCACCAGTACCTTCAATAGTACGACGCAATGGTACGACCAGTGGTTCAAGTTCGTCCTTTGGAACAGATTTGATGAAAGCGTCAAGTGAATGCAGAGCGGCTTTGTGAACTTCAACTTCGCTATCATCCATGAGAGAGACAAGTTGTCGGATCCAATCGATGCGATACAAAGACGAGTCTAGTTCCGATTCCTCGCAGAAAATGGAAAGCAGTTCGCAGGCCGTTATACGACGAGCAACTGCCTCGTGTTTAGCCCTAGGGGCGTTGTTAAGTCAATGTTTGAAGTATCAGAGACAAACTCACCATCCAAGCAGCAATAGCATAAGGGTGTGAAGCCCTTCTGCGTCACAAATCGATCCAAGTAATGCGCGTATAGCTTCAGATATAGCGGAATCAAGCTCCTCTTCGTCTTTGAGGTCAGGGCTCTCTCTAACTTTAGCCAGAGCTGTGAGGATCACCGTCAAACGCTTGCTCAATGCGGTGCCTGCAACAGTAACAAGAGATGCCAGTGCTCGTGCATTGAACACAGACATCGGAATTGCAGTCAATGTCGGGATTAGGACCGGGAACACAGTACTGGCGCGAACCTATGACATAAAGTTCCTGAGCTAAAACCCCATATTACAGGCACTTCTGAACCTACCGCCATAACTTCTTTCAGCGCCTGCAACGCCGTACCCGAACTCTGTCCAGGCTGGCGCAGGGCTTCGAGCAGTGTGGGAATTGTCTGGTCAATGGCTTTAGCACCGATGTGCTCCTGGAGAGTATCGAAGGCCTTTGCGGCAGCGGCGCGAACATCGGCTTCATCATCGACCAGTGAGGCGCGAACCATAGTTATGATCTCGTCTTCATGACCCTCTCGCTGGTTATCGGTTGTGCTCTCCCTGTGGAATATAACGGTCGATACAAGCCATACCTGACCACAATAAACTCACATGAGCTCGCAAAGCGTCAGACACACTCCTTCGCGAATCTTAGGATCAGTTGAAGCCAGACGTGATTTGAGTATCGAGATCATCTCTCCAAAGATTTTCTCTCCAGACTTGCGGCAAAGCTCAGCCACTGTTCGGGCAGCTGTCTAAATCATACCAAGACATATCTTAACACAGGAGGGAATCGCTAACAAAACCAAGATGCATACCTCTTGCTGGTCACTCTCCTCGCCAGCCAACAACGATATAACCTGGCTAACTAATTCAGGAAGAATCTCCCGCACTGATCGTATCATAATAAGTTCGAATACAATGTCATAATGTAGGGAAAACCGACCTGTGCGCGGAGTGTTATGTACCAAAGCCTTCCAGATATGTATCGATGATTGTCGTACAACGTTGACAGCGTCTTGTCGGGCAAGATACAATGCAGAGAGAATTCTATCTCTACGCTCTGGGCCGAGGACCTCGACGAGTGCACGGCGTGATGTTTCGGCCATGGCGGTCTCAACCACTTCTTCATCCTCTTCGATCTCAGCTTTACCACTGATGCCGGAAACTTTGAACAGTAGTTCCCCAACAAGAGTGATCGATGATTGCTACGGATAGTATCAGCATTGAAAGACACGAACATGGCTCTAGGTCTTACACGAATACGCCAACCAGGATCGAACATGCCGCGTTCCAGCTCGGGTAACAGTAAGTCTATCGCCCTGGTCGAGTAATTTGTCACGATCATCCGTCCAGCGCGCATTGCAGCATCCCGTACGTAATCCTCAGTGTCTGATAAACCTCCCAGAATGGGTGGAACGATTTTTGGAAGATGTGGCTGGAAGCGAGTGCCAAAAGTAGCGGGCAAGAAAACAAGAAGCGACATAAAGCCTTCTCGGACAGTGCTGCGCGGTGATTGTGCATTAGCGATAATATCGGGGAGCAAGCCCTCCATGCGTTCCATTCCGAGCCCAGCAAGGACTTCGCTAAGACCTTGCGCGGCGCCCTGCCGGTCGACACCAGATGTGTCTGTCTTTAGAGTGCGAAGCAGACCGGGGACCAAATCGGGGAAATGAACTTCGCCCAGTCTCTCAACCAGGGTACCTAAAGCCTTTGCGGCGGTTGCTCGAGCTTCCGGGACCGGGTCTACAAGTACGACATGCACCAAGGGCAGCAACTGAGAGAGATATGGAACGAAGTCCTTGGAATCTGTCAGAGATGCCAAGTTCCCAATAATCTGGGCGGCCTTTCGCTTAGTATCAGCGCTGCGTTCCCGCAGGCCTCGATCAATGATAGGAACGACCTAAACACGACGATTCAGTTTACATAAAGGCCCTTCCAGATCGCCTGCTTACCAAGGCAAGCGATGAGTGGTCGATATAGTGTACGAATGAGGTTTTGAGAAGTGCTGTCAATGCATTAGGTGTCCTGCCTGGGTCGACCATGGCTTTGAGGAAGACAGGTACGAGTGCTTGAATCTCTGGATTGCTAATGACCTCACCGAACTGTTTCAAACTCTTGTTCGCTGCTACTCGCACCTGAGCATGGGCATCGGTCAAAACAGCAGTCAATCTTGGTATGACAATAGGAAGTGACTGTGATAACTGTCTTGGGGCACAATAAGCCATCATTCCCAGTAGCTCGATAGAACCTTTCTTGGTTCGCCATTGCTTTTCATCAAGGCCAGAGAGCAGGGAGGGAGTGATGGTCTTGATACCGTAGCCCGACATATTAGCCATAATGACTCGAGCAGCTTCGTGTGTGGCTTCCCGCACATCGGGCGTCGCGTCACCGAAAGATGTCAGTAATACTGGGAGAATGTGGATCACATAAGGCTCAAAAAGCCGCCCCAAAGTCGTCGAAAATGTCTCAAAGGCAAACATTGCGCCCTGGCGTGGCTCATAGCGCTTCTTATCTTCGGCGGCCGCCTTCAAGCGCTCTAGGATATTGAGTTCCTTCATTGAAGCAATACCTGCGCCTTTGATGACACCTGCTAATCCATAAGCTGCACCACGACGTGCGGCATATTTTGGAGCATCAAAAAGTTCATCCAGGAGACGGTTGATCAATGCTGCTAATGGTGATCGCATACGATTGACTAGAGCGACCAAGCAATCCGAGACGGCCATTTGCACCTGTTCTGCGGGTGTCTTCAAGGCTTCTACAAGTCGCTCCACTATTTTCGGTACACGGCTGTCAGAGGGATCCAAGTGTCTCGCCACCCTTCCAAACAGAATCACAACCGCTTCTTTGATGTGGTCAGCCGTCTCCGTAGCAAGACTATTGCCCGACAGCTGGCTCTCAAACATAGCTATCAAACCAGGGAGTCGCTTTGCTCCATGAAGGTCAATAACCGCAGTGCCTGCACTAAGCATACCCCGACGGACGTCGGCATTGCGATCCCCCAAAGCCTGATCGCGGATCAGGAAAGTAAAGAAAGGTTCGACATCCTCGGTCTTGAATGCGGGTGCCAGCAGTTCGAATGTGCGAGCAAGTGCTATCCGCGTTGGCCACGGGTCACTGCGGTCAAGACTTTGAGCGATAACCATGCCCTAGAATGAGCTTAGTCGGTCCAAAACCACTAGAATGTCTGTGATTCGTACATATTCATCGAACTCCGGCGCAAGAACCTTAGCCTACGGCAAGGATCAATAAGATGCCACAAATTAAACAGTATGACGAAACCTTTTCGCGGTAGAAGTCTTGCAATACTACAAGTACCTTGCTGATAGTTTGGAGCCAATGATTCAAGACTGCGTCTGCCAAAGCTGTAGCACAGCTAGCGCGAACGTACGCATTCTCATGCTCTAAAGCTAAGTGAGCCCCTAATGCGCGTCCGAAACTTGTAGTCATTCCTTACCGAGGAATGCGATCAAATCTTGTAAGAAATGCTCTGGAACATCAAGTCCGTTGTCCTCCCATACATGGTTAGCCAAACGAGCGTTTTGATCATCGTCATCATGGCACGCTATCCACAGCTCAGGCGACCAGTCTAGGTCCGTCAAATCGAAAGGCTGCACCTTTTTGAGAACAAGAAACTCGTCAAATAAACTAAGATTCCTTACCTGGAGCGTCTGCAGGCAAGAATTTCTGACGTAGACCTCCTGCTGTAAAGTTCCACGCAGGAGCACGTCAAGTTCATCACGAGAAGCAGTAGATTGCATAGCTTGACCGATGTCTATAAGGGCCGAAGACGCCTCTTTGGCCACTTTGGGCTGGGTTTTTATACCGTGTAGAAGGTCCTGAAGTGTCCTGATTCGCGGAAACACAGGATCGGCAACTGCACAACCTGGTCAAAAAGGATAAATTCCATGAGCTCGTCATATTTACTCACATTCACCCGAGTGGAATTTAATGATGTCGACAGTCAGAGCCACTTGCTCCAATGGATCATCTTCTTCGGCCATGGCAATTCCTCCCTGAGAGAATATTTGACTCAACAAAGGCGACATGTATGCAAAAGTGGCCGCATCGAAGGGACTTTGTTCTGACAATGAGCGCAGCCTGTGTAATATACGGAGTACGAGTGCTGAAGGCAATCAACACCGACTTCAGCCCAATATCAAATTCATAAAATACGTACCATTCAAAGGCTCTAATTCGAAATCCTCTGGGACGCCCTCCACTTGCAAGCTTCGCAGAGTTGCAACGCCGATCCACCTGCTAAAAGCTTCTAGACGGCCCGAACACGCTTCGGCCAGTTCCTAATACTATCAATGAGAAAATAAACACAAGGAAATTTTCATCTTCTCACCAAATACCGCTCGAAAGAAGATGAGCCTACGAGTTTTACTGCATTCCCAAAGGCTCCACGCAATAGCGAGGCAACTATAGATGAGAGGTAGACTCGGAATTCATCCACTCGAGCGAGCACCAGACTGTGCACAAGATTAAGGCCGCGCTCCAACTGGGCCTTCACACTCGATACGCGTTGCCGAACTCGTCTTTCTTTTTCCAGCTGAGCCTCCAATAACGCAATATCTTGCTTTGACAGCGTAGACGGTGCTGAACCCTTCTTGCTTGCCAATGACTTACGCACCTCTGCCTCCCACTGTGCATCTTTGTATCCTTTTCCCTTCTTCTGAGGCTCTTCAACCTTTTTCGAGGCAAGCACTGCAATAGACATCCATGAGGATGATCATCTCGGTGAGAACTCTTTAGCGATCAGCCATACCATCAACATATGTCTGTCCATCGGGTGTTGCCCATATCGCCAAGTCAATGTCGCTTAACGAACTAGTCTTATCAGGATCGATATCCGCATTCAGTTGTTGCATGACTCTGGGTAAGACAACCTCCGGAGCAATGAAGACAATAGTCGTAATAGCACGATAGCTAGCTTCTGATAGAGTACCGCAAGAAGTCTACAAGCGAGCAGGAGATTATTCAGATATGTCAGATATGTCTTCGTACAAAAGAGCGGTTACCTTGGATTGAATGTCTAATGCCCCCATAACTTCCTGGAAGACCGACTCTATCCGCTCACAGACAAGTGCATGGGGATCAACTCTTGCCTTCTGACAACATTCAATCCATATTTGCCGTGAACCGCTGTCTGGTCAATCCTTGCCATTAAATGATGTCTTATGGGGTCGGCATAAAAAACACACCTAAGAGCGGGTGATGAGCTAGCACAACACTATTCACGAGTGAAGTTTTTCGCAACGAGTCATCACAATCCTCCGCAAATGCAGCAGACGTCAAGAGAAGTGCCGATAAACGACCCCCCTTACTGACACCGGTCTCACCTTCCTCAAGACTACCATTAGCTACCTTTGAAGTTACCGCCCCCTCTCTCGACCAGTATAATGATAGCGCTGAGAGTACGACGGTAGGTGTTAGCTCGGGCTGACTTCTGGTGAGCGATTCTAGAGCACTGATGGTAGACCGTCGAACTTGAGGATACTGGCTCTCAACAGCAAGATGCAGAAAGATGAGACCCATCATTGCACTACGATGCCCAATATGAAAATCGATACTACAGCTTAGCGGCAAGAATGACAGACCGGGCTTGTTCATTCCGCATAACGTCATTTTTGAAGTAAACAAGAGATGCTTGTACAGCTCGAAGGAGCCAAATCTCTTCATCAATCCCGCCCAATTTCTGGTAGACTTTCTCCCACAGGAGGAATGATGGCTTTGAGCCTGTGGACAAGATAGACTGCAATGTCGTATTTCGCGAGATAGCAGTATCTGAAATGGCATAGCACAAGCTCTAATTAGGAAGGAACTCCATGGTATGACAAGAAGAAGCACGGTTTATCTACCAAATTTTCCCGAACGAGATAGCGGCGAAAGAATAATTGCCAGCGCAATGTATCCTTCCAGGGGTCCGGCAGCCGAAGTCAAAGGTCCAGCAGCAACAGTCTTCAGGTTTGTCTCTAGAGAGGAAAGAAGAGTTTCCGCCAACGCTAGGGACATATCCGAACTAACAGCCTCCAGTTGCCAGAACGCATCGCCAACTAACGAGCAGAAGGCGCGCCGAAGGACAGGTTTAGAACCATTCATTTCCTTTGTTAGCAGAACGACAGCATCAGGTGACATTACAACGTTTTCGTGTAGGCAGTGGGTCAAATGGGTAACCAAAGCAGAGGACAGGGCTACAACAGCTGCATCATGAGTCTCCTTGGCTAGAAGAGGAAGGCCAGCATTGAGTATCGACGGAGACACCGAGCTCGAAGGCCTGATACAACCCAGAATCGTATATAAGGTTGCCCGATGATCAGGTCCTGCAGTCTTACCAGCTCTTGGAAGAGCTAAGACCTCGGCGGCAGCAACATCGACATCACTCGAATCTCGAGTCTTCTCTGCAATAGAACTGAACAAAGAGATAGAGCCCGCACGAACAAGCTGGTTGGTCGATTTGGCACTATTCAATGTTGGCGTAAGTATTCTGCGGAGACTGTCACCTTCAACTGGATGGGGATACGTCACAAAAAAATGGGTGACGACTGAATACCATAGTAATTAAGACCGATTAGTCTGGTAAAATTGACACGATGCTCACCACTCAGGGAAATTTCAGGGGATCTCAGCAACGCTTTTTCCATCGTTGGAAGCACAGAAACGGTAAAATCTTCGGTGGTGATTGAGGTGCTAATGAAATCATTCAAAGCGGTCTAAAATAAGATGATATCAGCAACGCCGGCACGCCTGAATAACCGTCTCGCATACCGAAACATGCATCGATACGGACGTCTTTGAGAGCAATATTGACGCGGTATAGTAGTTCAGTATCTCCGTCTAGGAATAATATAAATGATCGTATAAGAGCACCATGCATACACTTGCTCGTACCTTCAGTGAAGAGTCTAGATCTCTCAAGCTCTCGTCCTTGATATTCTTCAGCCGAATCTTTACATCCACACATATACCCAACAACGGTGCCAATGACATTGGACGAGGATGATTCTTGACTTTCAAAAGTAATGCTTTCATCGCATTTGATATATTTTGCGGACTCTGATAGAGTCCAGTAAGATTGACAAAACAAAAAAATCTTTCACGCAACTTACTGATCGTAAAGCGCGTCGGGTCCGCACAAGCGCGCTCTTCCGAATGGAAGGCTTTATACGTGTCGAATCATCCAATACTAAGTCTACCAGATTTGCGATCACACTAATCAAGCCATTCCATGCGATCGAAGAGGTAGTGACGAAGTCAGGACTGCACTGCAAACAGACGGTATACAGTCCACAGCACCAACTCAATAGGACAAATATGTCCGCAGATGCGTAGGAGCTATACAAGACCCGCATACAATTTAGCAATTTCAGGGTCAAAAGATATACAACTAACCTTCCTCGACTCGCCATGCGCCCGACTTCGGTGACCAGCCAACCGACAATCTGCTCTGCTACCCCCATGGGACTTTCTTCGGGCTCTCCATCCGGCCTCCCACGCAATTCATCTCGTCGCACGAGCTCCATGCCTACAGCCTCGACGGCTTCACGCGACGGCATATCAACATATCGAGAATATGTGAGTGTAAGCAGCTGGAATAAATCAAGCACTTGCGACAGCTTGAGATCTGGAAATCATGTAAGACAGCGAACCATCACCACGACACATATACGCACCTGCATGTTTAGCTAGAACCAATAGCTCTTCACTGAGAAATTCTAAGCGCTTCTTCGTGCTGCTGGTGAGAAGTCGGCTGCGAGCCACTTCGAGTGCACGAGACCAATCTGCAAGCACATCCGACCTGCGCCATTCCAGGCGAGAAGGACTAGATTCTCCGTATTCAGTATCATCATCTGCTGCAGTTGACGTCGAGGCAATCCATGACTGGATTTCCGATTTGCCCATAGCGCCAGAGGAGGCCTCTCTGGATAAAAGTCGAGCAAGTCTCCTGGATGATGACAGATTTATCACAGCTTCGATGCGATCTATGTTTTCAAGTAATTTTCAGCAGTTTAGAGTCGTGAAAAGTAGAAGTGATCGTCAAAGACTCAAAGAGAATAAAGACCAAAGTTACCGCCGTAGAATGAATAAATTACTAAGTAAGGCCTTGATTGTACAAATATGTAATGTGATGTACGTTATATGTGAACAAACTCATCAGCGCGTACTATGTAATATTTCACCTAACATTGCACAATACTTGATCTCTTCCCTTCGAACGTCGGGCTGCTAGTGTTAGTCCTTTGCAAATGAAGAACTTGTAAAGCTTCTGCTCGCTGCACAATTTTATACGCTTCCCGGTCAAAGCCTCCACCGGCGAATTCGAACACCTGTGAAGACTTGGTAAGCATTTCTAATCACTCCAGACGGCTGCCAGTCGAGTTTCGACTCATCGCTCTTGTCTATCTACTAAGCCTTGTCGATTAGTGGTCCGCTCTCTGACTTTGCTCGTAAGTAGACAATGCATCACGCTACATGCCAACGGCTTTCCGGTGCTCATCGGCGAATACCAACCTCTTTACTCGCCAAATCGCCATAGAAGAGCACTTCGGAGTCCAATCTGACACTCCTAACTTAGATATTGACGTTCAACACTCAACGTTCGACGTTGCAGAGCGCGTACAAGAGTTGTAGGATCCATCCATCTACTGTCACTCTATGCGCAACTATCACATCCGTATCTCTCTCAAGTCACAAGCAGTTACGCCCTCGAGCTCAGCTTCTTCGTATACTGCTCCGTCAGCCGTCCGTGCCCCAACCATATTCCTACCCGAATCTCTTTTCCAACGATTTCCTTCTCACGCTCCACGGGCTATCGCACGGAGATACACTGTTGTATCGCACGAACGTAAGGGGGGTTCTCTGACAACTGCAGAGTGCAGCGACTACCGTTTAGGCCCCATCATAATTGACTGGGTGGACTGTGTCTCGGAAGGTATGAACGCTTCCCCGAACAAAAAGCCGGGGGTCGGGAAGGAACGTGAGCGTGAGCAACCTCGCCGAGGTAGGCTTGGGTATACCCATTTCATTGAGACATTGACATTCATTATTTGGGGCAGGCGAACCAGTCACGGCGACGTTCGTTCCACAAGATTCTGGTGCATCGAAGTCGGGTTCCACGAATCTCCCTGAAGGCATCGTGCACATATACCGCGATGTGTCTAAACCCTCATCCACTCAATCCTTCACCCTGAAAAATGCAACCGGTCCTCCCCAGTCAGATGGTAGCGTCTCATATTCGGATGCGGATACCAACGGACTGGTACTTGCTGTCTTGGCGGTTCCTCCTTGGATGACGCCGTCCGACTTCCTCTCCTTCGTCTCGCCTGCTGCTGAGGGAATCTCTCTGCTCCGAATGATCCGGTTAGTACATTCAGATTGTGACCTCCTAATGTTAGATACTGTCTTGAACAAAACATTTAGGGATTCTGCACCTAATCGGTCAATTGTAGTCATGAAATTCAGGACGGCGCAGGATACTGCCGAGTTCGCGGAAGCATTCAACGGTAAGGCTTATAATTCAATGGAGGTGAACTCGATGGCTCTCGTATCCGTTACAGACCGCTGATCATCGAGACAGCCGGAAATTTGCCATATCGTTCGTGTGCTGTCCATCACTATCGATTCCGACGACACCGCCTCGCAGACCATTAGTTTTGCAAGCGATCCTAGTGTAATTTACGAGTTGCCCACTTGCCCTGTCTGTCTTGAGCGAATGGACTCGGCGGTTACTGGCCTTGTAACTGTGCCGTGTTCGCACACGTTTCACTGTGCGTGTCTGAGCAAGTGGGGTGATAGCAGGTATGCAGATTCATTTATCTTGCTGTAGCTACTCTGATCACTAGTTCAGGTGTCCCGTATGTCGATATTCGCAGACACTGCTTTCATCACACCCTCTGACATCCACTCACGGACGCTCTAATCACCGGATTCCATTTTCTTCCTCGCCGAATGCATCGCATTGTGCTGACTGCAATAGCACCGCGAATTTATGGATATGTCTTATTTGTGGCAATGTCGGTTGTGGGCGATATGGTCGTGCCCACGCTCACGCACATTACACACATACAACCCATCTCTATGCCCTTGAGCTCGAAACGCAGCGCGTGTGGGACTATGCCGGCGACGGCTACGTGCACAGGTTGATCCAGAACAAGGCAGACGGGAAGCTGGTTGAGTTACCCTCGGCGGCATCCACGGTGGGCGTGGGCGACGCGCGAGGCACCGGTGGCGACAACATAGGACCAAGTACAATGGATGCACTCAGCGCGGAGAAGATTGAGGCGATCGGAATCGAATACTCGTACCTCCTGACGTCGCAGTTGGACTCGCAGAGGGAATTTTACGAGGAGCAGACGACCGAACTACGTAAGGAACTTGAACAAATGCAAATCTTCATGGAGAAGCAGCGCATCGATTTCGAGAAAGCCCAGGAAGCCGCCCGTGCGCGGGAGGAGAAGTGGAGGAAGGAAGAGCGAACACGGACGGCGGCGATGGAGGCGGAGGTAGAGAAGACTCGAAAACGTGCCGATAAAGCATCGGAGCTGGCACAGAAGCTGCACAAAGAGCTGCAGGAGGAGCGTGCGGTCAGCAAGGGTCTTATGGACAACCTGCAGAAGGCCAAACAACTCGTGGAAGGCGCTGATCGTGAAAAAACGCAATTTGCGGCGCAGATTAGAGATCTGGAGGACCAGGTCCGGGATGTAATGTTTTTTCTGGAAGCTAAGAAGACCATTGAGAGCGGGGAGGGTGATGTAGCGGAGGCTGCTGGGGGTTCCATTGAGCTAGGATCACTACCTAAGCAGACAACAGGTGGTACTAGGAAGAGCAGGAGCAAGCGCAGATGATCGAGGTTGCAGACTAACACTTTCGAATATTACACGACCAAAGTTGTTGTGAATGACAATCGCAGCAATGCTAACCTGAGTGCAGAAATGATGGAAAGAGCCAAAATTTGTAGAAACTACTGCGCACCACTTGATTCGTGACATAAGCGTCGACCAAATATTCTAATTCCAAAAACATTGTATACAGTGGAGGCAGTGGAAGACAATTCAAAAATTCCTGATTGCACAAGACCAGACAAGATCAAGAATACATTGATTGACGGTGTGAGAACAAGAACAGACGTACCTTCACGATCAGAGTCACGTCCAGCGTTCCCGAACTCACGGACATTCCTCTCCATCATCGCTAATCAGCGATAACCCAATACTCACTTCCACTCTATAAAGACGCTAGCAAAGAATCCGATTTGCCAATGTCTTCGCAGGTGTCGATGTAGGCAAAGGACTGCCACGCAGCAATGTCAAATGGGGTCGAGAAACACAATGCACCCAGACAAATCCCACTGATGCTCCTGACGATTGAGCAAGTGGGCCTCGAGGCGCTAAACAAAACCAGAACTAACTTACTATGTCGTGGAATCTTGGACATACTTGGACATAGTCACTTATGCGACCCTATTCCAAAGCACTTCTATGTAGAATGATGGGGCCAGGCAAGGAGATCAGTACTAGTGTTAGCGCTAGACTCACTTTCTCCTCATCATGATCGACCCGCCACGTTTGGCATATAATTGGCTCATTCCCTGTTACAGTCCAGTGTCCGATGGTCTTGACAGCCTCGTTCTACTGATTGTGAGCCCACGTACTCGCTGTATAACCTGGGATCGACGAAGACGTACTGTCTGTATACACCATTCTTGCCCATTCGCCGCAGTCCTGTCGAGACGTTCACCAACTCGGCGCGATACATCTACTTCTCGTAGTCTAGGCATCGCCTCTCCGCGACCAGGCAGTCCTTCCAGACAAGACGTGCATGGATTCTACGCTCTTCATCCTTACGCATTGCCTATTCTTTCGTGCGGTGCTCATCTTTTCTGTGCACGATGCTCCAGGATTTTGACCAATTCTTCGTCCCGCGCAATGGTATTGCATTTCCAGAAGAGAAATGTCATAATCAATAATATTTTTTTAGCCTGGAGGCACATTGATGACAGCTGGGCAGTTTGTCGCTATGGAAATTCAGCTGAGTCACTGAGCACGAAGTCTTTGATATTCGAGATTAGCACAGAACGTTGTGATCGTTGGCGGCAGCGTCTGAGCCCATTCATTGTCAAAGTGCGAGCGGGTACTATAGCAGCGTCGTTTCCTTTCCCGTGGACATACCAGACCTTTAAAACTGAGACCCTCCCGTGATCATGAGTCCCCAGTAAGAAAAGGTCCACTTTGCAAGAAGCCGGAAAAGGCTTACTCTATCCAGTTGGTATCTTTCCGATGCCTTGCTATTGCAATTGCAAGCAGTGATTTATTTGTTGTGTCCTTTGAATCAGCTAAACGAAAGAAATAAAAAGTTCTCTTCGTTTCAACAGATACTTGTTGCCATGCGTGTGACACCCTGAAGCGCACTTCTACACTTTTGCCCGTTCTTCGCCACTAGTATGATACACGTCGGCCCCGCACACTTGCAACTGATACCTCCAATTTTGTACTGTCTGATGTGCTTCGGCAAACAGACGAGGTACTGTCATATGCGATCGTGCGATCGGTTGACTCCCGCTGCATAGCAAAATTTGGTCCTAAGACTTTCGAAGTACACATTCATATTTAGATCAAGTGTATCGCATTTTAAATTGACCAGAAATGCATCAACACGAGTGAACAACTCCTAACAATCATGTGAATCACAGCTGCTACGCCTTGATACATGAAGGTTTAAGAATAGCTCAAGGGACCTGGGGTAATTGATTTGGAGCAGGAAGAGAGCTGCAAAACGTATGTTCGGCAGATCTCCTATTACTGGTTGACTAGGGACAACAGCTCGCTAGCAACCTTACCCTCCCCGGTTTGAGTCCGAGAAACTACAACACAATCCCATTTCAATCATTCAGTTCATTCGGTCAAGAGCAATGAATGCCACGCACGAGTATCAACCTCAAATGCATTGCTCAAAGCACACCTCTCTAGCCGAAGTGACGAAGTTGTTTCCGGCCATTTGAACCGGCTAATGACGATGTTATCTTTGGTCAATACTGCATGTTGAACATACAGGAACATGCAGGAAGTACCAATAACAGTCAGTTGATCGAACCAGGTTTTCAAACGAAGGGACGCACGAGCAGATTAGCGTAAGTTCAAATCAGCGTGCCTAAAATGCTGATCGCGACCCGATCGCAAACGGCAAGCCAATTCGCACTGTGTCAAGGAGTCTAGCACCTCGACTACCAGAGTTACACGAGATTAGGGCAGAAATCTCAGGCAACGAACGGAGACACGTACGGATTTGCTGGGTTATCTCCAATCGTAAGCTACGAGGAGGCCAAAGAAAGAAGAATCACCGAGGGGGTCATTTAAAGAGTGCATTCAGGGCAGGCAGGGAAGCTCCACGTGGTGTGCTCCACGCCCAGCACTGCGAGTGCGGAGTCCGGACTCGCCTCGGCCTCAGGCAGCAGACTGATTGAGAAAACACGACTACATATGTATGCAGTCAAAGGGCTCGGCACGCACAACCACAGATTCTTAATTATTGCGAAGGATCGTCTACATGGAGTGTATCCACGATCTTTACCAGGCCGACGTTTCCCCCCAACCTTGCGATCTCCTTACGAATCTGATCTTCCAGCGACCGCAGAACGCGAAATGTATAGTCGAACGACTTGGTATGATTCTTCAGATACGCGACCGTATGCACTTTTAACGTAGGAGTAGTCGGTCGCTTCTGAAGGACATCTGCGAATGTGGAAATCGCTTAGCGATACATTCCTATATCATTTAGACGACCACGCACTCATCACCCGCCGGTTCGATGTGTCAGCTCGCACTGCGTGGACGATCGGGAAAGAAAACTTTCCCTCTGTGAGATCTTCAGCAAATCCTTTGTTATCTGTATACTGTCCACGTACGCGATAAGTTGTGTGAGACACAGTTCACTGGACAATTCTTACCTGAGAACTTTGTAAGTTCATATAGTCATCGCGTATTTGAAAATGGATTCCAAAAAGGTTGACAAGCGGTACGTAGTCGCTGGGAGAGGTCTGTCATGATAGCCCACCAGTGAAGACAGACAGCATATAACGCACACATCGATATTCTTAGTGGCACACGCCATCATAAGTTTCACCGCAATTCTGAACACACCACCCGTCTCTACGCAAGAATCAGATATCAGCAGTGTTCCGAAAGGATGATGACGTACTATTATTGACCATAGCTACATACTCCTCTTCTGTCGGACACTGCAGAGAATCCCGCCATAGTAACTCCAGTCCTTGCCCACGGTGCAGGGAGAGTAGCTCCGCTGAACAAAGATCAGCCAGCGATTAACGTCCTTGGATAACCAGCCCTACCGGTGACTATGCGATCCAGCTCCCTGAAAGGAATGAGGCGTTGGCTTTCTTCCTTGGGGGATTCTGATATACTGATCCCAGATCGCAGGCGAAATAACTCCTGGTATGCGAGAAAGTACGCATAATTGGCCGAATTAATGGTCTGCGGTATGCCATAAATCTTATGCGATACTGTTCAGACCCGTGCTATGAGATTGAGGATAGCGAATTTTTGCAATACGGTATGGTACTTACCGGGAACGCCCCTCCTAAGCTGTGCATCGTCCTCGATGTCGTCTATCCTGAGCCTCAGTCACGACAGGCCATGGGAAAGTAAGCGGCGCCCTCACAGTAAACTTGCGGTATGGAGCATGCTGATAACTTTGGAAATGATGGAGAGCTGGTCGGCGGGTACCTGCAGCCAGCTATTGAATGCCTCGAGCATGAGCCCACGAATATCTTTTCCGGGCACAGAAAAAATGTGTGTATACGGCTCGAGCAGTGCCTGTTGTCTGTGAGTAATATGTGCGATTGGGTGTATGCGCGACATACAGATTCGTTGTCCTCGGACCATTCCTGGGCCTCGGAGAGGATACGCAGGGCATCGAAAGTAACACTAGAGTCTGATGACATGTGGATAAGAATTATTGGGACAGCTGGAGACGTCGATATATTATGCACCGCGCAACCTCAGGATGTTGCCCTGAAAGAAGAGCGGAAGATGATATATTAGCGAAGACGGTGCAAAAGGCTATTACCCCTTAAGAGCGGTGATCGGTAGGAGAGACGCCCATCCGCGCGCTGCGGATTCCCGATATCCATTTCTTTGACTGCGCTCAGAGTCTCGGACGCGGCCAACGACCACAATGTACTATTCCAGGTAATTCCAAACATCAAAGTTTTCTGCTCGGTTACTTATGTCTGACCCTCATAGCAACGCACTGCCCAGTTACCAAGAAGCTACGACTCGCTCGACTCCCGGGGTCAATACTCCCCTCCTTCCACTGGAAGACCGTGACGAACGACTGCTGTCTGAACTCAATTCTTATGACCGCCACGACCGTCTCTTCAAGCTATATGTGATATTCGTGATTATATCCATTACGTTTATCTTTTGGAAGGAGGATATCGTTGCGCGGGACGAGGAATCAGTCCGAGCCCGGGAACAATCTCTCATACACAGGGAAGACGAGCTCCGCGCGAAAGAACAGGCAATGCATGAAGACGAAGAGCGTAGAATCCATGCTCGTCTTGTTTGGAAGGACCTGATCGCGGAGAAGCGATGCTTGAGCTACGAGAAGAGGATGTATCACGCCGAGTTGGTGAACGTCCCGGTGGGGGCCGCGGCAGATGCACCAGAATGGTGTATGCAGACCATTATTGACATCCGTGGCACAAAGTTTGACCATCCCGAATTCTGCACCGAGGAACAGACAGTACGTCTTTGTTGATCCCAGATTATACAACGCGTACATGTGCTCACAATCAGTAGGATGGAGCCGTCAAGACCATCGGACACTGGACTGTAACGGGGAATGAACCAACATGCCGGACGTGGTGGGGTAATTACGAGAAGAAAGTGAGTCTAACGCTAATACTACTCGTAGTACTGATCTGTCATACGCCTGACCTATCATTCTAGGAGTGCTTTGGGTCGCACAAGCGGGTATGATCAAGTATCTCCAAGGTTCCACGACACGACTTATTATGATTTTGTTAGCGTGTCGAGGCCCACTTGTTCAACCATCAAGAGCCTTGGGATAATTGGTCCGAAATGTGTTTCTCGACCCCGTCTGACTTTGCCAATCAGTCCTTCGCTCACCCGGACGCCTGCGAGAACAGGGTCAGTGTTCACTTCGCTTATGTCGCATTCTCTACTGACGTTTTTGTAGCGTGGTATTGTTGGATCTTGGTTCATCAATGTTGACGTCGATGAATGCCCGTAAGCGGATGTGCGCTTTACAGTAAGGTAAGTTGCAGGCAAGGTGCTTACGAATACACCTTTCATCCACTTTGCAACAGTATTCTTGAGTTGCGCCTAGAATCGATCGTTTTTGTTGTCGCGCCGCTATCGTCGGATTCTTGCTTTCGCGTTTTGTCGTGTTCGACTGAAAGAATGTTCTTGATACCTAAATGTATTCTCATAGATAATTGTATATCCACCTTTGATTCTAAGCGACTCATCGCTCTACGTTCTGCGCTAGCAAGTAGTACTACCATTCGGAGTATAAGACATACTAGTAGTAGTACCCGCAATTTCTGGGGAATAGTACATGCACCAGCGCTAGCTTGACAGCACCACGTGCTTTTGATTCCACTGTGTTTGCGGCAAGCTCAGTGCATCCTGGCTGCTGAGCACGATGTCTTACGGCCGGTAAGCCCAAGCATTAACCTGTTTCATTCTCGGTGACCGATCTTTCTCAGATATACGCCTCCGCCGTGCTACACGGCGCCGAACGCCAACTCCCCGCTCCTCCCAAATGAACGCCTCTCGTCTCCTCCAGCCTCCTCTAATGGTATCATCCGGGTTATCAAATGGTGTTTCGTAGTTCTTGTTCTGGGTCTGGTCTTGTTTTCCTGGAGTAGGGAACAAACAATCCGAGCACATCAAGACGCTGTATCGAAGAGGGAACAGGCCGTTCTCATTCAAGAGCGTGCAGTCGCACGCAGAGAAGAGGTCGTTCTTCACAAGGAAGGTAGCCTGTTCACTCTGGAAGTGCAACTCCGTCAGAAAGAGCACGCTGTCCGCGACAGCGAAGATGCCGTCGCACGCAGGGAGAATGCCGTCTATGCGCAGGAGCGCGAAGTATCACGCAGAGAACAGGCTATCAGCGTGAGAGAGCGTTCTGTTGTATATAGGGAGGACACGGTCCGCGCCAGGGAAGAGGCCATGCGCGCAGACGACGAGCGTAGGATTCGTGCGCACCTCATCTGGACGGATCCAGTCGCCGAGCAGCGTTGTTTAAGTTACGAGAAAAGGATGTACCATGCCGAGTTGCAGAACGTTCCGGAAGGGGAGAACGCGCAGAAATGGTGTATGCAGACGAGCATCAATATTCATGGGATCGCATATGACCATCCGGATTCTTGCACCATGGTCCAGGCAGTGCGTAGTCTTTGATCCGGGATTCTATGCCAAATATATCGCGCTCATAATCTATAGGACGGTGGCATGAAAGTAATCGGACACTGGACTGTGACTGGAAACGAACCGACATGTCGGACGTGGTGGGGAAATCACGAGAAAAAAGTAAGTCTATCACTGATTACAACAATCCGCATTTCTGATATCAATATATCTTAGGAATGTTTTGGATCTCACCAGCGGGTAAGTCCCGACACCTATCGTGTTCCGCGTCAGAAAGCTGATCCTAACTGATTCAGCGCGTCGAGGCTCACTTGTACAATCATCAACAACCCTGGGACAACTGGTCAGAGATGTGTTTCTCGACCCCGTCTGACTTTGCGTGGCAGTCCTTTGCCCACCCTGATACCTGCGAGAACGCTGGCACGGTCAGAATTTGCTTCGCTTATGTCGTATTCTTTGCTGACGTCTTCATAGGGTGGGATCATTGGGTCGTGGTTCATTAATGTTGACACAAAGGAGTGTCCGTGAATTGGGGCACGCTGTAATATTATTACGAAAGTACGTTTGTTCATGTTTTCGCGCTATCGATCGATGTATTCTTCCCCTCGTCTCCCCTCGTCTGGTCTTGTACTATTAGACATCATTGCATTGTTTTCCGCTATCGCCAACGTAATATTTCAATCCAAATTCTTTGTCGTCGATGCCACTGGTATTTCTAGTGGAACGCAGTAGCTCTTCTGGATCTCTTCCGTCTTTTCTGTAGATTATAGTCCCGATACAAGTCTCCGAGTTCTCGTCCTGCGATATTCCTCCGATGCGGCTGCCTTGGTACGCTACCCTGTATCCTCCCGCGCGAGGCGCCTCCCTTCCCTTCAACTTGAAGACCTCGCTGTGTTGCGCGTAGGTGTATCGAGGATCCCTCGACACCTTGTTGTGGCCTGCTACGACTGTCCACATGTCTGAACAGGATATTTCATTTTTATCGCATCGACGACTTCCTCTCATTCCTTGACTTGCTCTACCTCCAATTGTGTGTAGCAGATGAGACATAACGAGTTGACATCTCCGCACTACCTTGTATGCTTCCCATACAGTGCCTGCTCTTCCGAATTGAGGATGGCCCGTGTACGTCCTTGTCTCTCTTGATATTGTTACAGTCTCAAAAAATGTACGTCCTTGTCTCTCAGGTTAGTGTCTGCTGAGCGTGGACACGAAATTCAAGTATCTCGTTTCTACTTAGCAGCCTGATTCTGCTAGTTTTACTTATTTGCATTATATTAGCAAACCCAGTGTTAATGAGCGCTACGTCGAGTGGCACTTCTCTGTTGTGGCGCAGTATGCATACACATCACTTGTTTCTAATACAACGTTCACCACGTTTCTGATAAGTAGTACTGTGTTGCACAACCAAGAATTCATATTTGCCGTAGCTGGGAGTCTCCGCAGCTGGAGCCTGGGAGCTACACCATTCGATGTTCTAGCTACTTTCAGTCAATCCCGTGTCGGAAAGCTTGCGATCATTGTGTGAAGCACAAAAGATTACTTTGCGGATTCTAAAAGGTAAGCACCACCGACTTTGAAGAAAGCCAGAGTCTACCCATCGCAACCTTATGGTCCGCACGCCACAAGGGAATGTCCTGAACGAAGCACAAAGGAGAGTGACTCCGTATAAAGGGCAGATCTTGACCTATTGTGCTTTCCAATTGTTTTTGAACCTGATCACTGCCTGTATAGCTTGGTGACAACCTGAATCGCAACAGTATGTATGCGCACCTTAGGACGACCAAATCTCCCGTCATCGATATCCATAATACCGTTTGAAGACGGGGACATCGTTTTCAAGGTAGGCCTGTCAGCGTAACCTTGTCTTACACCCACTGGCTTTGATTGCTACAAACTGCGCTAGTTTCATTTCGCGCATGTTTTCGTAATGCGCGGAGCACCGCTATGAGTGTGCAAGACCCCATCAGGCGTGTGATCATAGAGCCCATTGGAATAGATTCCGTCGGCTTCATCGACGCTCTATCCAAAGTATGTTCCGATCCTCTTCACAGGCCATCGCTCATGATAACATTCGAATGTATAAGGATACTATGGCAAGGAAGAGCTCAACACCGCCTCTGAGTGGTGCTCTGTACTCAAACTCGCGACGCCGAAGGGATTCGCTGACATCCGCACGTTCGCCGTCAAAAAGCGGCTCCCTATGTTCCTGCGCGTGGAACAGGTGGTTCTCGCGCACAACCATGAGCTTGAGGACCTGCTCTTGCGGGTCCGCAAGCGGTTCGGCGAGCGCACAGAGTCGGTAAGCTTCTAAGAAGGCCAGCAGCCGGTAGCAGATGAAGTCACACTGATCTCGCCCGCGCGCCAGCAGCCGCGCGGGGGTATTTGCCCATAACGATTAATGCTCCAAAGCTGGCGAGGAAGCAGGCAGCATCTAGGGGCAGCAATGTACTTCTCCCCGTTCTTGTGCCAGAATTGGAAGAACATCCCAGTTCCTAATATCACCGCCCCTGTCAAAAATGGTTACGGTAAATTCAGCGTACATATGCATGTTAATTAAGCGGGTTGTATGGCTGTCAATATACTGCAGTGGTTGTAATGATCATCCCTGGATAGAAAAGTTTGCGGCGCTGGAGCGACCGCACCGGTGATATCATGGGACCATGATCCCAGGTCCGTAGCAATGATTTTGCTCATGGACGTGTTTACACATAAGACACAGGATCATTGGTCAAAGAGAGTAGTACATACTCCAAACATTTTAAGACACGACCTATGATCCTGTGCCGCGTGAGACCATGATTGAAATAGTCAAGTCGTTGGAACCAGGGATTCGGAGTACGTATCTCCACCTAGTCAACGACTATCTCATGCCACTAGTTTCATTTCATTTCCGCACTCTTCTATGCATACACTAGACGCGTAAGTGACGAGGATGTGCGTCATTAGACTGATACAATATCTTTCAATTCAGATATTCAGTCAGCTGGAATAGAAAGCACAACAGGTGATATAACGGCAAAATATATCACTGTATCCAAGTGAAGAAAGGTCACAGCTTAGCAAAAAAACACCGTTGCGTTGCATCGGAAAAGCGGTCAAAAGTATGTCAGCTAAATAGTATTCATTGTTCCGATGTTCTCAATGGAACTTTTATCCGCTCGAAAACGGTGATTATTTCACCGTGTACGAAACCAGATTCGAAGCTCACAAGGACTGCGGGTTACTGTGTGAGTAGTCACTCGAGGGTCGCTCTCAGTATCGTGTCATGAGGCAGCAGCTGAAGACGGGGCCAATCCGGGTTTCGCTCCCCATATAGTCGAGGTATATTAGCGGCCTGGGAAAGCGAGCATATCGATGTTTGATCTCGAGGTTCCTTGGATTCTACTGTCAGTAGTGGGAACCATATTGGAATGACTGACGAGGCGAGATTACGTTTCGGGAGACCCGCCCAGCCTCCGGCCCATCGGCACATAGCGACTGGCCCTGGAAAAGTGGAGTTAGTTCTCCCGAGGGACAGGTTGTGAGGAGGTGCCCAGTGACTTGTGGCCACCCAGACCTCTCTAGAAGCACTATTCAGCATTGGTACTATGGTAGGGCCGCCGCGCCCCCACTCCGACCCCAGGGTGAACGCAAGCGAATAGCAAGCATTGAACGGGAGTATTACTGCTGCTGTCGAGACAAGTCCTCGCTACAGCCGTAGTTTGGTGGGCAGACACACCTTATTCACATGCCGTACACTATCGCGGACGCAATTGGCTGGGACAATCACAACGTGAATAAAGAGCGCTAGCATCCTCCCGCAGCACCGGAAAGCGGAGGAGGAGTGGGCTGAAGAGCCGGAAACCACAAGGGATCATGTTCGAAGAGATTGATCAAACTACTGGCCGCAGCCTGGGGACGTCGATAGGCTACTCCGCAGTTGCTGGGCGCAGCTGGCGCGCCGATGTCGGGACGCTGGACATTGTCTGATATCAAAGCGGGGAGATACGAGGGTCTAAATATTTGCACGATGCGTGTGGCCAGCTGCAAGCGACTGTGAGGGGGCCGTGGACGCGATGGCGGACAACTTAGTCGACTCGAGAAATGTCTCAGACAGAACACGGCGGCCCGGCTGCGGCGGCACCGCCTCTAC